GCGTAGAATATGTTGTATGTTGTATATGCTGTTAATGATGTAATGCTATGCTGTAATAGATATATATATATATTGTCGTGCTGAGCTGGGCTGTCATGAATGATTTTCAGGTTGAATTAAAATATTGTTGTACTATAGATTGTTGAACTGAGTTGTGAGCAGTAAGCTGTGTTGTATACTACCTAGCTGTGCTGGATGCTGATATTAATGTGTTGCACTGAGCGCGGCCCTTGTCGCGCTGGGCGTGAGACTCCTTGGGAGTCTCTGCCTTGTGGGCGCTGGGCGCAATTGGTTTTGCGCCAGGCGCGAGCGAGCCTTGGGCTCTCTGGCTGGGTCCTGCCGGGCGCGAGCATGCTTGCGTTGGGCGCGTTGGCCCCCCCTGGTGCTCTCTAGTTGTATCGCGTTGGGCGCAACCACAATTGCGCCGGGCACGGAGATGTGATTTCACTAATGGATGTCAGAGGTTGTTTATGTTGAGTTTAAGTCGAAGTTGTTGATTATAATGTGATGACTTGTGGTTAACGCTGCTTGTTGATATGTTGAGTTGTATCAGTTGTATATTGTTGTAAGTTGATATGTTGAGTTGTATCAGTTGTATATTGTTGTAAGTTGATATGTTGAGTGGTATCAGTTGTATATTGTTGTAAGTTGATATGTTGAGCTGTACAGTTGTGTTGTACTGTGTGTTGATTTTGGATGTTGTAGGCCGAAAGACTGAGGTGTTGTAGGCCGAAAGGCTGAGGTGTTGTAGGCCGAAAGGCTGAGGTGTTGTAGGCCGAAAGGCTGAGTTGTTGTAGGAGATCTCCGAGTTGATATGCGTGACGACGCATTGTGTGCTTATTGCTGATTATGCTGTAAAATCGATGAGTTGTATACTTATGATGTGAGATGTGTGCTGTTATTGCTGAATGTTGTGGTATTTTAAACTGATTTTGTTAAGTTGATTGATGAGTTGATTTGATGTGTTGATAGGGGTAGCTATTTACTAAATATATGTATGTTATTTCTTTTCACTAGCTTATCCTTTGTTGTTTCCATGTGGTTTGGACTGCGATGATCATACTATGTATGAGAGCAGAGCAGGGTTAGACTGGTGATAGTGGCAAGTCTGCAGTTGGCAAAGGGAGGAGTCCTGTTTGGCTTATGTCTTGTTGTTGGGCCACTATCCGGCTACTTTGGTTGTATTTTGTTTGTACACTCTAACTCTAGTCGGATTGGGACATTGTATATATTTATATTCTAGATCTTATATTTATATACTCGTTCTATTCTGTCTAGTGTTTTCGGTGTGCTATGGGTGTGAGTGTAGTGACCAGCCGGGTTGTTACAATTTTTATAAGTTAAAATTTGAATTTGAATCTAATTTTCTTTGTTTCATATATCTTTTATGTACAATTGAGTTAAAAATGAGTATCAAGAAATGAAATAAATGGTTTGTAATCTTACTAAAATTTATTAAAGAGGTTGGTAATTAGTTTTAACTATTTTTTCTAATTTAAACTAGTTTGTAAAAACAAAAAAATCCTTCACCCAAATTTATTGAAACATGATAGAACTACTCGAAATAGAAGAAAAAAAAAATATTTATTAAAATGCTACTTTTTTATTTTGCGTTGATTGAAAGTACGTGGTGTCTTTTACACAGATATACAAGTACATCAACGCAAACTTGTCGGTGATGTCCTTTTTGTGGACAGGAACAAGAAGGAAATGGGCCATAGCCAATGGGGGATGCTACGTACCTTTTGTTTTTGGTGCTGCAATATATTTCTTTTCTTAAGAAGAAAAATTATAAAAATAGTCGTAATAAAGATTGAACCTAAGTCCTCATGTTTTTAACTACTACAATCTTTTTTCACTTAATTACTAGGCTAATCCTAATAATCCAATACGTACCTTTTAAATGACAAATCATTCTTTCTCCCAAAATTATTAACCCAAAAATATTTTGAAAAAGTTTAAAATTTCAAAATTTTAAAATTAAATAAATATTTTATTTAAAATTATTGACAAATGTAAGTCGAGTGATTTGGAGAATGAGTGGAAACATTTATTATTATTATTATTATTATTATTATTATTTTGGAAGATATAACATTTCTCGTTTTTTTTTTTAAGTTCGTTCCTGGAATATTCACCGCCGACAGCAGTGACTAATCTCCTCGTTACGTTGGAGGCACCTCAAAAGGTGGGATAGCTGACTCCATAGCATTCCTCGTTTTAAATACTAGTAAAATAATAACATATTACTTTAGTATAATAATATTTATTTATATAAATCGTATTCCAATAAACTTCTTCCAAAACCAAATCTTACAGCTATTTTTTTTTAATGATTTAGAATAGCTGAGAAATTTGCGAAAATAAACCTGTATAAATAATCATCATTTTTAATGAAAATCTCATAACTTTTTATTTTCCAGAAAAAAAAATCCCTTATCATTTAAATTTTAATTACAATTTATTTTTTCACAAATACATGCAATTGTAACATTTTCTTTTTCCAAACTACATGTATGATGTATAATGTATTCTTCCTAAAGACAATCTAGTCACGTAAAACTATATAAGAGAAAAAAAAATTCATCTCAAATATTTAACATAATTACATACTAAAAATATAAATTTAAAGTTATTAATTAAACTAGAATAACTCCATTTTAGCTGATACATATGCTACGCTGAATAATACAATTCATTTCTTTTTATACGATTGTTATTTGTACGTATCGTATACAATTCATTTAAAAAAATGATTTGGGATTCTCGTACGTTGGTGATGCTATAAAGTGAGTATGATTGATTGGTTTTAGGATACAAACAGTTTTTGTAGTGAGAACGAAATTTCACGAGTTGTAGCAGCCACCTCCATGATGATGTTTTTGAAGAATTAAACATGACTATTTAAGAGACGTAACGATCATCATTTTATACAAGTTATTTAATTTTTGGGAATATTTTAGTAAATTATTTTCCTATATAAGATTATTGATTTGCGACTTGGAATAACGACCAGAAAATGTCTCTACATTTTTTAATCTTTTTAATAAACACGTTTGGCAACTTGCGTTTTGATTTGTTGTGCACAAGTTGAAACATCGAATCATTTTTTATTTTGAAACCAAACAAACGTTATAATTTGTTTCTAATTTTATATACGATTTCCATTGACAACTCATCCTGGTAAAACTGAACCTCCAATCTCACGTGGTGTGGTGCCATGGTGGAAAGAAATATATGAAAATATCAATAGGAAAAAGGAAATCCAGCTTGCTTAAATTTCTATTTACCTAAAATCTAATTTCCTAATTTTCACTATCTTTTATAAGGTATGTTCAAACATACAATTTAAGAAAAGCAGAAAATTAATTTTTTTTTACCATTTTTAATTTAAATGAACTATAATGAATTTTAAAAAAAAAACTGTTTTATTTATTTTATTAATACAAATATTAAATTGAAGCATTTATACACTGTACAATTACCTCTATTCTCCCTTCATTTAAAATATAAAAAATATTTTTATAATTTCATTTAGATACGCACATGCAAATAAAATAATAAAATTAATTAATATAATAAATATATTAATAGTAAAATATTATTTTATACTATCATTTGATTATAAATCTTATATAATAATTCTTTTTTGAATTTTATAATAATTGTTCTAAAAATTAAATTAAATTATTTTAATTAATTAATATTTTTGGTGTATTATGTATTAGTTGATATTTTTTTTAATAGCAATCACATTGGTACAAAAAAATTATTATAAAAAAGAATGATTAATCTTCATCAAAAACCATGAGTACATATATAGTGATTATTTTCTTCTCAGTATACTGTATTTCATACTCAGATCAAGTTAAAAACCTACATATTACTACCTTGGTTACTAGCCTAATTTAGAACAATTATTTGTTACTTCATATAATATTAATTCATATTACCTCATACATTAATTATTTTTAGACTAAAATATCTCTAATGAAAGAGTGTTTTATTAAGTTGATAAAATGTATTAATCATAATCTCTTTTAATAAAAAAAATAGTCTAATTGACTAAAAAAAAGATGAATATCAAATAATATAAGATATGCACAATAACAATCTATCATGGTTACTACACTTTCTATAATCACCCACTCGTAATAGAGCTAATACCACTCAGAGTCATACATTCACTAATAATTGGATATGTAATATACAACATGCATATAAGAGTAAAATAACTATACAAATATGAACTATATACTTCTCATCACAATCTGCACCAAATACTACAACTTCCAAAAAATGAAGAGAAGATAAAGAAGAAGATTCAACTAAGCAACTCATACACACACTAAAGCAATTTGAAAAAAGAAAATAAAATAAAAACGCTTTTAAGAAAACAACCCCTTCTCTCTCCTTTAAGACTTACATAGAATGTGTTTGGTTTACGATTTGGAAAAGGTCAAAGTACATTCATTTAGGAGCTTTCTCTCACATATTTTTCCATTTAATTACCTATGAACGTGTACTACCAATAAAACAAACACACATACACAGACACAATGATACATGAACTCTAATTAATTAAAAAAATATATGAACCTTAATTAGAGAAATAATATATGCATAATTTTGAAGTAATATATACATAAGATAAAGTTATTACTATAAATTAAATTAACTATTCTTTTAATCCCAATGACTTAAATAATCGAGTATTACTGACATGAATGGAAGTGCTAATTGATATCGAAACCGTGAATGAAACATATTATCCCAACAGTTAATCTTGTCTGCATCAAACATGTCAGCATTAACATTCCCCACACCATCATTTCAATTTGCATACATAATTCAGTCAGTTCGCATGCTTTAGGCAATATTAATAGTATGTTGCCTGTACCAAGTCTAATAATATTATTGAATATTTAATTATAATTATAATATGATTGCGTGTATTTTTCTCTCTTTGATTCTTCTATAAATGAAGCTATATTGGTCACCAACCTCAAATTAGTTTTCCATTTGGTTTGTGGTTTTGTGGCTGCACATTTCCAACCTTAAATTCTGCCATCGAATCTTTCTTTCTGCTCATTTCTTGTTTCTTTCAAACACAACCCAAAATCTCTGGGGAATTGCTAGATTCCCTGCTTCTCCTTGCAGCTGATTTTGGGTTCTGACCCAAAGGTTATATTCCCAACTGGGTTTTGTTGAATCTTTGTTGGTGGTTGTAAATTTTGTGTTCAGGGTTTGAAAGTTGATTTTTTTTTTCTTCTTCTTCTGGATTCTGGATTCAATTCCCTCGTGAGCCTCCAATAGTATTTGCTTGAATTGGGGTATTTTTATTTATCAGGTACGGTATTGAACTTACCTGAACTAATCATTGCACAAAAATTTGCATCTTTGATCCAATTTTATAACCGGGTATGTTTTTGTTTTCAGAATTGTTAGGCTCAAGGCTTGAAACCTGAAAATGACGATTGGTAGTTTAGCACCGAGGGCAGAGAAGAAGAGATCAAGGAAGAACAAGGCAGTTGTTAATGAGAATGCACCCTTGTTGCCGAAAAGTCTTGTTCAGGAGAGTGATTCTGGGTTTGATGATTTCAATGGAGCTTCATTTTCTGGGGCTGTTTTCAACTTGTCCACCACAATTATCGGTGCCGGAATCATGGCCTTGCCTGCAACCTTGAAGCAGTTGGGGATGGTGCCTGGTCTTGCTGCCATCATCATCATGGCCTTGTTGACAGAGAAGTCAATTGAGCTTTTGATTAGGTTTACCCGGGCAGGGAAGTCTGTTTCTTATGCTGGACTTATGGGGGATTCCTTTGGGAAGTATGGAAAAGCTCTGGTGCAGATATGTGTTATAATCAATAACATTGGTGTGCTGATTGTTTACATGATTATAATTGGTATGACCATTATTCAGTTTAGTGCTTCATTTAATTTGGGTGGATGTCTGTTGTTGTCATAGGTTTAAGTTTTAACCATCAATTCCCAGAAGCAAGTGCTGTATGGTTGTCTAATTTGGTTTTGTGTTGTTCATCATGCAGGTGATGTGCTCTCCGGAACATCTTCAGGTGGAGATCATCACTATGGTATCCTCGAAGGATGGTTTGGTGTGCACTGGTGGACTGGACGGACGTTTGTTGTCCTTTTTACAACACTTGCGATATTTGCACCGCTGTCAAGCTTTAAGCGAATTGGTGAGAGTTATTCCTTTGATTGAAATTGAAATAACAAAAGAATGGTTTCTTGGTTAGTTGTGTTATTTAGTGTTGGGAAGATTACTGAGATTTATTGTTGTGTTATTCCTTTAATTAAATTCCATAAGCAGTAACTTTTGAATGCTCAATTTATTTGATTTGCTGGGGTGAGATCTTATGTTGATCTATTTAGCTTCATCTTTTATAACAAAGATTTACATGCCTGTTCTATGGTTTTGCAGATTCATTGAGATTCACATCTGCCCTTTCAGTTGCACTAGCAGTTGTTTTTCTAGTCATTGCTGTGGGAATTGCAATTGTGAAGATAATAAGTGGAGGTGTTGCGATGCCCAGACTCTTCCCGGTTGCTACTGATGTGGCATCATTCTTTAAACTATTCACTGTAGTTCCTGTCTTTGTGACTGCCTATATCTGCCACTACAATGGTATGCAACTTATTCAAACCTTTGTGCCAAGCATACTTTTTCTCTTGCTATACTTGTTTTGTTGTTTTTACATGTTAGTTCTTGATTTGTTTGAAAAATGTGGTGAAGTCATTCTGACCACACTTTCTACAAGCCCAAACCTGTCCATAACCAAATTATTTTGAAAGGACAAGGTCTAGATAATCAAAACAAGTTGACCCTAAAATTTGATCATTCAAATGATCATATCCTTTATTCTACAATAGAATCATTATGAATTCAACTATTCTAGTATAACTTTCAAGCACTATACTATCCTATGCTGAGTTGCTTGAAGTGGTACTAGAATTTTCAAACCCCAAGTATTACTAAATAGTAAATATCTGAAATGTTGCTAAAGTTTCGATTTGGTGAGATCATGGTATTATTGCAGTTAGCTATCTGGATTTAGCTGTTTGCACATTGCAATATGCATTTAGAGTCAGATGGTCGCATTATGTGAATTTAAAAGAACTGATATTTGTGCACTTTTTCTTCTGCAGTTCACAGCATTGACAATGAACTTGAGGACTCCTCACAGATGCGAGGGGTTGTACAAACCGCCCTTGCTCTGTGCTCTTCAGTGTATGTAATGATAAGCTTCTTTGGGTTCCTCCTATTTGGTGAAGGAACTCTTGATGATGTGCTGGCCAATTTCGATACCAATCTTGGAATTCCTTTCGGTTCTGTGCTCAATGACGCTGTTCGAATAAGCTATGCTGCACATCTCATGCTTGTATTTCCAGTTGTCTTCTATCCTTTGCGGCTCAATATAGATGGTCTCTTCTTCTCTTCATCAAGGCCTCTGGTTTTGGACAACTTCAGATTTGCATCACTCACTGCTGCTCTAATTGGTATTATCTTCCTTGGAGCAAATTTCATACCTAGCATTTGGGATGCTTTCCAGTTCACCGGAGCAACTGCTGCAGTCTGTATAGGATTCATTTTTCCAGCTGCCATCACTCTTAAGTGAGTTTGATCACCTTTTTTAATTCTTCTGTGATTGTGTTTATTGTTGGATCCCTGATATAGAATACTGAAAATGCAGTTAGGCTTTGTTTGGATAATTTTTTCCGTAAGTATTAATAGGAGAAGAAATTAAGAAAGTAAAATGAATTATACTTCTCCCATAAGTTAAAATCAACTAGCATACTTCAATTTTTGTGGGACTTCTATAAAAGTTAAATGCATTAGTAGATTTTAACTTTGGGGAGAAGCTCAATTTATTTTACCTTCTTATCTCCTCTAATAAATGCTTATAGAGAAGTTAATTCAAATAAGGCCTTAGATGTGCTATGTATTGTGCCTTACAAAGAAATTATGTTGACTTGTTCAAGCATAACGAAAGAATTGGGAAAATGATCTTGGATGTTTGAGACGATTATTTTCCACTTACACGGTTGTGCTATATATATTACATTTGTTTTGTGTTTAAGCTTTTGCTGGTACCTTATTAATGTGTTTCCAACCATCATTTTAACAATGCAGGGACCGTTACGACATTGCAACCAAATCAGACAGGATTTTGTCTATCGCTATGATAGTCTTGGCAGTCTTCTCAAATGTTGTGGCTATTTACAGTGATGCCTATGCCTTGATCAAACAGAACAAAACTTCACGAGAGTGATGGTCATGATTTTAGATGAGAGGAACTGAATTGATAGGGCTATTGATCAATTTGAAAATCAGGGTTTTCAAAGAGCGTTTGATGGGTTGATTTGAATAAACAGAGAAGCTACCCTGTGTACAAACTTGCTTCAGAAGTGTCGAGGCCTGCAACAAGCGTTCAGCCTCCTTTGTAATTTGCCATTTTGTTGTTTTCGTTGAAGTTTTTATTGAATATTACTCTCTTTCCCTGATTTGTTCTTCCTCACATGTAATGATAGAAACCTTCGATGGCATTTGAATTTATTGTAGTGCGT